GGGGGGGGGGGGTAGGTGTTTAGGGTTCAGGGTTCAGGGTTTAGGGTTTAGGGTTTAGGGTCTGAAAGTAGGATTTGGAGCTTGGGGGGGTTTCCTACAATGGGGACGGGCCGAACTTCAGTCCTTGAGATTCCCTGAAAGCCACCCTCACGGGCCCCTTCAGAGGCCCTAGCTGACCAAGCCGCAACAGATAGGGTTTCGGGTCTGGGGTTTAGGNNAGGGTTCTGGGTTTAGGGCTTCAGGGCTTAGGGTCGCTTGATGCAAGAGGCGCCTGCCAGTCACACGCCCTAGTGTGAGGTGGCGCCATTTTAGCACAGATGGAAGATACCCTAAACTGTTAATCCTAAACCCTGAACAAAAAAATTCCTAAACCCTGGACCTGAAATTCCCGAAGCCCTGAACCTTGAATTCCGAAACCCTGAATTTGAATGCTCCGCGTCCCAACGAAAAGCGCTGCTTGAGGTGCCACGTGACGGATCTGAGCCAAGGCCTTTCCGCGGTGTTTTCGGTTGCGCACGTCAGGATGTCGGGTTTTGGTAGCAGCATCCCTCATAGTCGAAGGAATACCCCAAAACCCGATTTTAGCTAAGTCCCAAAGAGGTAAAAGCAAGGGCTTTATAGGTTGAGGGTCTTACTGAGTTTGGGCTGAGCGCCTTGCGGTTCTCGGCTAGGGGAGGTACATAACAAGCCTAGGCTTAAAATGCTCCAGTGCGGGGACCCTAAACCCTAAGGCCTTAAGATGCTTATATGGGTGGTTCTCTAAACTAGCTTCCCTTTTAGGGTCCTTTTTTTCAGGGTGCCGTACTATAGTGCGGATCTAGAAAGGGACCCTAATTTCGAGAACTGCCCAGACATTGAAATGCTTGAGGAAGGAAACCCTCCAGCTTTGGCTCATGATAACCTTAATCTAGGTACGAGTTTTGGGGGTTCAGAGTTTAGGGTTTTGGATTTAGGACGTGGGGTTTCGAGTTTATTAGGGCTTATGCATACACAGAAATTTGTAGGCAGCTTATCTAACATTGGGGCTCAGACCGCCCGTCAAGTGAAACTTGATACCTACCCTAAACCCTAAACCCTAAACCCTAAACCTGGTAAGAGATTGCGATGATCATCGGCACCTGAACTGCAAGCTAGCTCCTGGTCTAAACCCTAAACAGTCCAGTGTGAAAGTTGGAAGAAGTGATGTTACCATGCTAGCTTTGGTTCACATAGGGCTTAGTGTTTTGGGTTGAAGGGCTTCCGAACCCATCTGTCATCTTAACTTGCCGCCTGTTATAGGATTCAACCCTCGCGCAGCGCGAAAAGCAACACCCGCAGATTCATCGACTTGGACACTCACTTCTGCTTCCATTTCGGAAACGGCTACGAGGAAGACGGGAAGCTCATCATTGACATGGCCTCTCAGTGCTGATGTTGTATGATCAGACATACGGCTCTTGAAGGTTGCTTCATTGGTTTCGTTAAATAATCTTTTCAAGGGTTTAGGGTTTAGGGTTTCTTTTCGGGATTGGGGCTTGGGGCTTGGAGGTTTTTGGACTACCGACAGCTGTGGGCTGTCAGGCCAGGATTTAAGGTCCAAGTGTGCAGACAAGCCTCAAGATACGGTTGATGATATAGATCCTGCATTACCCATAATAAGGAATATACCATAATTCCCATGGTATACGGTCCTTAAGGTACTGCAGGATTTATATCATCAACAGTATCACGCGCTAAGCTGCAGCATGGACGGTAATCGCTGCAGCATGGACGGTAATCGGAAGGATCCCAAACCCTCTACCCGCGACGTCCGTATGTCTTCTCCTAGTCCTGTTTAGGGTTTAGGGTGTAGGGTTTAGGGTTTAGGGACCCTTAGATAAACCCAAATGCTAAACTCGCCCGATTTGGGGCACTGTTTTTGGGGCACCGTTTTGGAGTAAAGCCTGCCAGTGTTGGCTTCGGGGTTTGGGTTTGCGGTTTGGGTTCTCGGCTAGGGCTTGAACTGTTCGATCTGGATCTTTGAGCTAAGATTACCATGCCAAGTTCCCGAACCTGGGGACTGGTGTTCATGAATTCTTGCCTTAGCTTGTTGACATCTGCTGTGTCCCCTGACCCTATGCTTCGAACCTAAACACTAGACCTAAGCCTGAACCCTAAACCTTAAG